TGCAAGTCCGGCCGCCGGGAGTGCGCGCGGGCCGGGCTCAGCTCCCCCTGCTCAGCCCCGGGCCGGGGAGGGGACCGAGGCTCCCGCGAGCGGCGAGCCAGGCTGGGGGTCGCCCGGCGTGTGGGGGGCGGAGTGGCGAGGTGGGGTTGGGTTCGGGACTGTAGTCTCCAGCGCTTCCCCAGGAGGAGGAGCGGTCGGGGCGCGGAGCCGCCTGTGGCCCCGCGGGGTCCCGCTCGCCCACTGCGCCCCGGGGTGCGCCCGTCCGGCACCCGGGAAGCGCGCGCGGGATGCTGCGGTGCTCTCCGCGCGCCTCCTTGAGGTCCTCCTCTGACTCTGACGCCCGCAGTGTGTGGAGTTGGGGTGAAGCCGCCCCCCCCGCGCCTCCTGGGCCTGGGATCCCGACGACAGCTGTGGAGGGAATGGGGAAGCTGGTGGTGCTCGCGGAGGTGACGGGAGAGGCAGGAAGTGTGTGGCGTGGGAGGGGGTGGCCGGTCCCGGGCGTGTGCGATCGCTCTGCACCCACGGAGCGCGGATGGGGAGCGTGCGAGCCCGAGGTTCCCTGCGCGGTCCTGGGCACAGTTCCCCGGCGCGCCGCACTCCTGACCGCGGAGCCGGGGCGCCCCGTGGGTGCACAGGGACTGCTCAGTGGCTTTGATAGGGATCTGCAAAGACGGACACGCGGCTTTGGCCCAAGGGAAAACCACGGCCCTTTCGCTTTCTATGGAGGAGAGAGGTTGCGGTCAGTTGGGAAGCTGCTGCCACTAGCCGGGCCATTACCTGGGAGATTAGGACGGAGCCTCTGCGTAAACAGTTTGTGTGTGTGTGTGTGTGTGTGTGTGTGTGTGTGGACAATTTTATCACTTCCTCTCACTCATTGGCCTATTTGAAATTTAATCTTTTATTCCACTCTCTTTCCTCACCTGCTGGTTATGGGGAAACAGCTCCCGCCCCCACATTAGTCTGTACTTGGACAACTAAATGGGTTTCAGAGACGCTTAACATCTGTAGACTGCACCTCTGTAGCTAGGCGGCAGGTTTGTTAAGCTTCTCCTGTTCGCTGTAGTTGAGATTGACACAGATGGTGAGCCTGCCTGTGTGTATGAGATTATTCCTGTTTTCACTCTATTCCAAAGGATTTTTTTTGGCTTTTAAGTTACTTTTAGAATCTTTGCTCTCATATAACTACAACTCAGAAACTATATTTCTTCTGCCCCAGATCTCCAGGGCTTGGTGTGGTTGTGAGCCTGCAGAGAGCCAGGGAGTCCTCACCGGGTGCTCTAGTAGGCAGCCGGCAGGGAGGGAAATTAAATGCGGAGAACAGACAGGGCTGGGAGTGCATTCAAGTACCATGCCCAAGGACCTGGGTTCAATCACCAAAAGATAAACAAGATGAAATTAATTTATTGTGAGCGTTGTGGTTCAACAATGGTTGAATTTCCTCTGAATGAAAGTATATCTAGTGGAGCCTAGTTACTGTTGCAAAAAGGTTGTCAGTTCTAATTTCGTTTAACTAGATTAAAAGCTGTTTCCAAAAATATTATGACTTTGATGTCACTGATGCAAACCTGTTCCCCAATTTTTTTTTATTGCCATGGCTATAGAAACATGCATGATGTGTTTTCTTTTTAATATTTTCCATATTCTGTAGTCAGTTTAGTGTTACTTATCATCAGTTAAGAAAAACGTTTGGATTGCCCTTCTAGGGCACAGGTGTTAGCAAAATTGCGCCGGGATATAATTGAGGACAGTTATTTCACCAGGTGTGATAGAGTGTGATTGGCGTGGATTTGACAGACCCACTGTTAGGACATGTTAACATCTCCATTGTTCGAAAACGCACTGCTACTCCCATGGCCTCTCTACCTGGACGCTTTGGCCTATGGATGGTCTGGGGAGCCCAGGCTTCTGAGGTCCCCTGATCAGGTTCCACCTCCTTTCACAGGGTTGTCTCTCACCATGCAGCTCCAGTGAACCCTCTCATCCCTCCTGTGGGACTTTGCTCTGTTATGCTTGTGCCCTCTCCAGAGAACCCTCCTGACTCTGCCTCCCACAGTCTGGTCTCTCCCTTGGGGCTCAGATCTCCTCCTACTGCTTCCTTCCTAGTTTGCTTTTTGCCAGGTCTTCTGAAGCCCTCCTGCCCCTTCCTGAGCTGCTTGTGCCATCCCTCAAGTTTTGTTACTCAGCTTCTCATTAGTGACAAGGTTGTGGTTGTATATCCCTGGCACTCAGGAGTACTAGGCAATGTGTACAGGACTCCCCCTTCCGAATCATTTCACTTTCCACAGCCTCAGTTACCTTCTGTCTTCTGAGGTCTAAAACTAAATGGAAAATTCTGGAGAGAGGAGAAGACAGATCCCATTCACCTTGTTTTTATTATAGTATGTTGGATAATTGTTCTATTGTGCTGTTCTTTGTTGTCAGTCTTTACTGTCCCTAATTTATAAATTCTTTACACAGGTGTGGGAGTGTGAGAAAAACCATAATGATACAGAGTTCAGTACTGTCTGAGGCATCTGGGTGGGGAGGTCTGGGAAGGTATCCCCCGTGGAGAAGCGCCCTGCTCTATGCTGCTTGATGTTGGCGTTCTGTTCCCCAGCACGCTGACCTCATTTCTCTGGGGATTTAATGCCCTTTTCTTTGGTTTGACTTTAGCATCTTATTTGCCTCAGTATAACTTGTTTTCAGTTCGGTTAGGTGGAAGAAGCGAGGACTTCTACTCTGTCTTTAGTGCTGCAAGTGAAAAGTATATGAGAGGTTCTGCTCTGGAAGCCGGGCTTAGACAGACTTGTTGAAGCGTGGTGGGAGCATTGGCTTCGTGAGACTGTCTGGGAATGTTTGTTTGTTTGTTTTTTGTTTTGTTTTTCTTCTGGTACCAGGAATCGAACCCAGACCTTGTGCTTGCCAGGCAGGCGCTTTGCCGCTGAGCTAAATCCCCAGCCCCTGTCTGGGAATGTTTGGATTGGTTTCTGGGTAAGGGAAGCCACAGGTAGCTTCCTGAGTCCCGTGACGATGCAGAGTTGCCCCTCGGTGGCCGGAGTGCTGAGGACAGGGCCTTGAGCTCCGCTGGCCATCTCCACTCTTTTTTTCTCTCAGTGCCCCTGTGGGCTGATCCTGAATTAACCTAGATTTTCCCACCAGACTGAATGCAGTCAGTGTGGGAGTTCGTAGTTCTTGAACATAGTACTGTGTGTGACTCGATCTCTAGCATTAAGTGGGCCTAAGTAGCCTCGAGAGCTGGAGGACTCGTAGACTGGATTCTTCAGGGTACTTCAGTACCCCAGTGTGAAGTGCTGAGTCTTGAGTCCTTCGAAACAAGTGCTCTTTCATGGAGCCGGGCAAAGTTTTTTCTTCCTTTTTTTTTTCTCTTTTTTTTCCTCTCTCTCAGTCAATCTCCCTCTCCCACCCTCTCCCACCCTCTCCCACCCTCTCTCTCTCTCTCTCTCTCTCTCTCTCTCTGTGCCTCCTAATGAGCTTTTGAAGTTATGGAACATTTCTGTTAGATTTCAAGCAGATATTAGTAATCAATATGCAAATTATTCTTTGAGTTATTGAAATGTTAGCTCCCACACAAACTCTTCGAGAACAGCTATAGATTATGTTGATTGTAAATTCTTCGCAGAGTAATTTGTTGTCGCATGTTGGGTTTTCTGGTACTTTTATAGCATGATAGGAAGTAGTTTAGGGAAGGTTTGCTTCTGATGTCAGCTACTCGGTAGTTCAGCTGTGCTTCCTTGGTGAGGCCAGAGCATTTGACTTTGTAGACTAGATGCACGCATGTGCGTTAAGGCCGAAGCCAGACACCTGTGGGTCTTTGTTGAAGCCTGTGGACGCCACGTCCTTCCCGCTGCAGCTCCAGTGTGGTGGGAGGGAGGAAGGTGTCCCACAGTGATTAGTTTCCTTTTAAAGAGCAGAACTTGGTGCCTAGAGAGGTAAAATGAATTGCTTTTTGGTCGCATGAACCCCTTTAGCAATCTGGTGAGGCCCGTGCGTAGATCTTTTCCTCAGAATGCAATATCTAAATGCACCAAATAAAAATACAAAGGTTTGAAAATGAGATTCTTTGCATTGGAATAGAGTTTTCAAGCCATTTTTCAAATATGTGTGCTTCTGTATTAGCACATTAACTAACAAGATCTAATGACAAGTCATGATTGTGAATCAGTGATGGGTATGTATGATTTTTCAGGATGTTTGCATCCATATCATAATATGCTCTAAAAGTATGGGTGACTTCTGTTAGGGGTAGTATCACAAGCACGGCTAGTGCAGCTGTGGCATGTTGCCTGCAGTCCTAATGGAAGTAACGGTTGAGCGTCAGAGAACAAGCTTGTAAGTTTCTTTCCTGTCCAAATCATCAATCCTCTAAATTTGGACACAGATTAAAAATCCTGGGTGGTGTTTGAGCTGCTGATTAGGTAGAGGACCATCTGAGCAATGGTAACAGTAGTCACACTTGTAGATCAGCTCTCTGAGTAGGCAGGTTTGTTTTGTAACAGGAATCGAACTCAGGACTTTGTGCTTGCCAGGCAGGTGCTATGCCGCTGAGCTACATCCCTGGCCCAGTCAGCTCTCTGCTAGATACTAGATGTTCCTATAACTGTATCCCATGAACCCAACCCGTGACGTGTTCCTGTTCTAACAACACTGAAGCTAAGGGGAAAGGATGGAAGACAGAATCGATCCTGTTAATATTCGTGGAGAGCTTACATTGTGAGGTCCTGGTCCAACGCTTTTTCAAACAAGTACTGTTCCAAAGCATTTTTTTTTCAGTGTGTTCCAGGGACACGCAGGGGTCTTAGAGACATTTCCAGAGGGCTTATGAGATTAAAAGTCTTTTTCACAATAATCCTGAAATATGATTGGCCTCTTTTCATCCACATTCTCTCGTGATTAGATGCAGGGATATTCAGAAGTGCAATATGCCAACGGATGAGATGCAGAGAGGCGAAGCCAGCTGCCTTCTATGCAGCCACAGAGTAAGGAGATTAAATATGCAGGACAGTGTTCCGCTTCTAAGTATTTCCTTTTCAGAAGCAGTTTTCTTCATAAGAAATAGGTAATGTTGCTAACATGTGTTGAGTTTATTATAGTGATTTTAAAGTAACTTTTTTTCAGTACTGGGGATTGAAACCAGGGCCTTGACCCTGACCTATATCCCTGGGCCTTTTTATATTTTATGTTGAGACACCAACTTAGCTGCCCAAGCTGGGCTTGACTTTGTGATCCTCCTGCCTCAGCCTCCCAGAGGGCTGGAATTACAGACCTGCACCATGACATCTGGCTCTAAGTGTGTCAGTTTAGGTGTCTGATAATAGTAAAAAATGGTGGAAGTAAATCACAAAGACAAAAGCAAAACCTCCTTTGGGGGGTTTTTGATAACTTTAAGGGCATTAAAGGGGTTCTGATAAGAACTAGTTTTGAGTACCACCGCTTTACCCTTCATTTCATGAAATCATCATGGTTGTGCTGTGAGGTGGAGTTGTCCCCTTTTCCAGATAAGGAAAATGAGGTTCCTCCATGATACATGTCTCATGCATGGCCCTGTATCTCACTGCTAAGCCATGAATTTGTACACTGTATTATGCTTCCAAACTCCAGGTATTCACATCACCTGCTTTTTGTCCTAACCAGGTGCCGTGGGGAGCTCCTTCTGGGCTGGAGCCATGTCCACTTGCCATCATCTGACTTTTCTATGAAATACATCAGTAAAGAGACTTTGAAAGGGGTATTTGTTTACAA